GGCACTCGCCCATTCCTCCTCCAGCTCCAACCCCCCGCCGACAGTCCCCAAGGTCAGAGCGAGGCAGGCGGTGCGCAGTGGTTGGCCTGAGGGCTGCCTGGCACAGCCAGTGGCACAGGCTCGCACGAGTGCTTAGTCAACTGAGGCTGTAAGTCATATGTGAAACGATGTACAACAACAATCTTGGCATTGCACCCTCCAGATGTAGGCTGGCACGATGCTGGCTGGCCTGTATGTCATGCTGGGGGTCACTGAATATGTGGGCATTTCTCATGCGATGCAAAGGCGTCGCAATCGTTGGGGTTCGCCCCTCGTGGGCAAATTGTTCACGTGTCCTCGTAGCGGTGAAAAAACCAGGCAGTGTGCAATTCTTGGGCTGCTACCCTGAGTCAGTGAGTCTCGCTCCACCTCATCCTTCAACTTCTGGCGCCATCACCAATCCCCCCCGACAATCCCAAGATCAGAGTGGGCAAACGGTGCAGTGGCTGACCCTGTGGGCTGGCCTGGCGCAGCCTGTGATACAGGCTTGCGCGTGCCTAGACAGCCGAGGTTTAGGGGCCTTTTGTTGTGCGGTGTAAAAAAACAGGTCATGCTGCTGGCAGTATGGCGAGCGCTTGAACTGGCAAAGCGTGCTGCTGTAAGTAGCAGGCGTGTTGAGGTTCTTCCCTCGTGGGCAGATTGCTCGCGTGTCCTCTCGGCAGTGAAAAGGGAGCCATGCAGTGTGCAATTCTTGGGTTGCTAGCCTTGGTCAGAAAGTCTTTCACATCCCCCAACGCTCTTACCCCCCGCCGACCGTCCCCAACGTCAGAATGAGGCAGGCGGCGCGCAGTGGCTGGCCCTGAGGGCTGCCTGCCACAGCCTGCCATACAGGCTTGCACGAGTGCGTATACAGATGTGGCTGTGAGGAATTTAGGATGCAATGTAAAAAACAACAACTTCGCATTATCATCCTCAAGATGAGGCTGGCGCAGCGTTGGCTGGCCTGTTCTTGAATGCTGAAGTACGCTGAGCACTAGGTCAGATTGCTCACGTGTCCTAGCCGCTGTGGAAAAAAGAGCCAGTCAGTGTGCAATTATTGGGCTGCTACCCTTATCTATGATGCGATGCAAGTCCGTTAGAAGCGAGGGTGCCAAGTGAAGCAAGCAACCGCGACAGGAGAGAGGCGAGGAAATAGGAGCCGTGAGCAACCGAAGGGGACGTAACCGATACCCAATGCACCCAAAGGGTGCACAAAGTATCGGATGTCCTCAGCAGCCGGTAGGGGACGGCCCCTTGGGGGGGAGAGGTCCAAGCTGAATCGCTTGGTAAGGTCAGCTGGCCTGTTGACACAAGGGATCAGGCACGTGATGGAAGCGGAGGGACGAAGGCGACAACAAGAGTATAATGTGCCGGATGCATGTCGAGAGAGGCTTGTTGCTGCATGTTTGCGGGATAACAAGCGAGAGACGGGCATGGTTGGGCTGTTGGTCGGTGGCCCACAGCAGGAACGTCACCTTCCCCACCACCGCGCCAAAACGGCCGTAGCCCAAGAGGAGGTGGGGAAGGGAAGAAGCGGTCCATGCAGACGGCGTGAACGGGAAGAAGAGCATTAGAGGAATGTCGACGCGAGTAGGGCTTTGAGTGGGAGAGGCATCGGTGATGCCTCCGGTATCCTCTGTCGCTGGCACGTTCGCCTGCCGACAATGAGGGGGGGAGAAGATCAGTAGTCGATGTTCCGCGGTACTCGGCGTACAGGTGGCGCTTCTGGTCGTTGTCGTGGTATACTGCTGTGTACCTCCTGTGCGCTCGTGATAAGCTGTGCATCGGTTTGGCTGCCCTTTTGTTGTCGTAGTATTAGCTCTGCGGCTTGGGCTTGGGCGGTGCCTTGTACAGACGTGGCATTGGCTTGTGCGGTGGGTCCTCGTGCGGTATTTCTGGGAGGTAGTTGTTGTGGAGACTGGCGAGGAACTGCTCGTAGCGTGTCTGCTGCGAGCGGAGCGTGTCGATGTAGGTGTGGAAGTTCGGGTCGCCGTTGTGTGCGAAAATGACTCTGCGGTTGTGGATGGTGTTGTGCTGCTCGTCGAGCCTCGCGTAGATATTGTGCACGGCAGGGGCGCGGCTTACGTGGGTTGGAAAGTAGGCCCGTCATGTGGCGTAGGTTTGGGGCGCCAGAGAGTGCAGATGCACCACCTGTAGCCAACTCTGTGCCATTATCTCTTCGCGAGGCGGGCAACTGATTGGTATGTGGAGTGCTGGGGGTGGTGGGTGCGCTGACATTGCGATTCTTGTTGTAGGTGACCATTTTGTGATGGCCTTCGTGTGCGGTGTAATTTGCGCGTTTGCTGCCGGGTCGTCAATGATGATGTGAATGGTCGTCGGTAGTGGGGGTGTTTTTTTTGGCCGCGAGAGTGGGAAGGGGTGGTCTCTTGGCTGGTGGTGTGTTTGTGGTCGGCGGTGATGATGGCGGTGCTGAGGGTCTGGTGGTCTGGAGGTCTGGAGTGTGGGCGTAGGGTTGTTCGTAATGTTTGGTGGTGAGGGTAGGGTAGGTACTTGTGGTTCTGTAAGGTGTGTGGTGGGTAGTGGCGGTGCTTTCTTAGCAGGCGGTGTAGGCTTGGTCGTCTGTACTGTGGGCGGCTCTGCTGGTCTGTCGGTGGTCTGGGTTGCGTCGGTTGGAGTGTGTGTCGTAGTTAGTCGTTGAGGTAAGGTGGATGCTTGTTTGTGGGGCAGTGGGGTGATATTGGTGGTGGCGGTGCTGATGGTGGGGATGATCGTCGGGTCGGTGTGTCTTCTTCGATTATCGGTGTGTCTTCTTCGCGTGTGCTGTCGATGTCGGTCGGTAGTGTGGGTCTGGTGATGCTGGGGGTGATCGTCGGGTTGCACATGTGTTGTAGAAGCGTTGCTGTGCCGCGTACGTTGTTTGCCCAGTCGTACTTCATCTTGTTGTCGTCGCTGTGGCATGTGGTTAGCCATTGTGCAACTTCTGGTATTGCCACTATCTTGTTGGGGTTTAGTGGAGCGTGTCCGCCTGGCATTCCTGCTTGGAAATGTTGGCTGGTTGTGGCTACGTCAAATCGGAATGAGGCGTTGTTGCGGTAATGGGCTGCGAATCCGTTCATGTCGGTGCAGTATCGAGGCAAGGTCAGACGTTTGGGTGGCTTGGGCAAGGGTAAGTAGGTGTCGGCGTGGGCAACGTCTTTGAACATGAGCTGTTGTTTTCGTCGTATATGGTGGTGTGTAAGTCGCAAGTGGGGTTGCTCGTGGATCTGGTCGAAGCGGTGGGTGTGGCAGGTATCGGGTGCCATCTTGGCGTGCGAAGAGCTCGTTGTTGAACTTGTCCAGATCTGTTCCATCCAAGTAGAAGTAAGCCATCGTTGGGGAATTTGTGCGAGTAAGTGTTAGACTGTTCATGGTAGTAGACCGCGTAACGCCATCTGTCGTCTTCGCAGCCGTCGGTGTCGGTGTCGCTGGCGTGGTAGTAGTATGCTGTCCACCCGCTCGGTCAGTGCATGTCGTGGTACTGGTGCGTGTCCGAAGCTCCGTTCATCTTGGCCCATGGGTCTTTGCTGCCTGCGCTGTCGTCGGAATCCGTTGTGTCGTAAATCAATTCGAGTATGTTCCCCCACGGGGTAGTTGGTTGGAGTGTGCTCGTTGTGTTGCTGTTGGCTGTGTTTGAGGTGATCGTATTTGTGCAGGTGTGGGTGGTATGTACTCGTAGCTGGCGTCGGGTCTTGCTTTGTCCCGTTTGGCTTTCTTGTTCTTGAAGGTCAGGTTGGGTATTCGCTGCTATAGTGGGGTCATTTTTGTGGGACCTGAGCATCCGTGTCGTTCTCTGTCCAAGTGCTCGTAGTGTCTCTTCTCTACGTCGTAATGTAATGCGAGGTGTCTTTCAGCGAATTCGTAATGCGGATGGTCGGCAGGGATGTCAATAAGGAACTTGAACCTGTCGTTCGTAAGTATGTGTTTTGGAGGTCGGAAGGTGAACTGAGGTCCGTCAGGGTGGGGTATTCCCATTGTTGGTTGTGGGTGGATGTAAGTGGGGTTGCGCGTGTTGAGAGTGGTGTGAGCGTTGGAATATAACAACTGAATGGGTGTGGGAAATAAGTGGTAGAGCGTCCGGGGCCAAATGGGGTTGTCCAATGTCGGTGCTGTCAATTCGTAGAGTGCTTCCTCCCTCTTCCTCCTCCTCCTCCTCCTCCTTCCCCATCCCCTCAGACATGTGCGCCGCGGAAAAAGCAAGACGGGCATATGCTGCCGGATCGATCTGGCTCAAGGAATGCCGCAGTGGTGGGGTGGAGAGCTTCAGTCGTCATTGTCGACGACCTCGGACGCAAGGGTTCTCATCCTCTCCTTTCTCCTCTTCCTGCTCCTCCTCCTCCTCCTCCTCCTCCTCCTCCTCCTCCTCCTCATTGTCCAAAGGGCTCCTACAGTCGCAATTAGATTCTGCAGCACAAGGGACACGGGGTTGCGAGGGCTTTGCGAGGCGCCCCGCAGGAGTTTAAGCAAGAGAGGAGACGACGTTGGGCATCCCCGACACCCGCCTGGCGGAACCCGCGTTTCCTTCTGCACGTGCCGCGCCAGATGAACGCAACAAACAAATATCTAAAACTTTGGGAGGTCGGCGCGGATTTCTCGGATCGTCGCTGGACCTCGTCTCCGCGCGCCACGGGCGGCGCTGGAGGCGCCGCTACGAAGCCCAGCGCCGATCCAAAAAATCCGTGCGGACCTCCCACATTTTTTTGTTGGGGGTGGGGTGGGGGTGTTTTTCTCCTAGAGGCGGATCGGGCCGCCTCGCTGGTCGCGATGGGCGGCGCGAGGGTGTCGTCCTCGACTGGCGGCACGCCGTCATTCTCGTGATCGGCTTTGTCCGTAGCCCTGCGCAAATTGCTCAATCTCCAACGATCGCTAACTTCTGGAACGCCACATCGTTCCAGGCTGGCGGATTCTGGACCACCGGCGGCGTTCAGCCTCGAAGGCCCGCGCTGGGGCCGCAGCCGCGTCGACACGACGCGAACCTACCGTACAGATAATGTCGGGCTCCACGCCCGCCCCCCGCAGCTCGCCGAGCAGCGACAGCGCCTCGGGAGACCCCGGGTCCTTCGGTCGATCGGGGGCGAGGCGGTCGATCGAAGTCTCCACGATCGGCCCGCGTCGCACAGCTCGCTGAGCCGAGCAGCGGCAGCGCCTCAGGATCGCCTACACGCAAGAATGACTCAGGGCCACGTGCTGCCGACAGGAGGCCCCTCGGAGGCCCCTGCCCATCTGGGTCGTCCACCTCGCGCGGTTGTCTTCGTGCCCTCGCAAGGCCACCTTGTAGCGGGGCAGCTCTCTGGCCCAGCCCGCGGCGCGCGAGGTGCGATTATCTCAGCGCCCCTGGGGGTGACTTGGCGTATCGGGCCAGGGATCGACCGAACCTCCGATAACCCCACCACCCTTTTGGGCAACAGGTGGTCTAACGAGAGTCTCTGTCCTCTTCCACAACCCCTCTTCCCTTCGGGGAGGAGAGCCCTCCCCCTCCCCTGCCCGAGATTTTTTGGAAGGGTCGCGAGGTGTCGGAAGTCCTTTTTTCCGCCCCTGGGAGGGCCAACTTTTGATACCCTTCTCGAGGATTGGGGCCGCCGAGAGGGGGGGAAGGAAATGGAGGACCCCGTCTGTTTTGACCGACCGCCTCCAAAATGGCCCCAAGAGGCGCTCCAGGGCTCCCAGGAGGCCCCCGAGCCGGCTCCAAGAGCGCACCAAGAGGCCCCAAGAGGGCTCCAAGAGGCACCCGAAAAGGCACCCAAGATACCCCCGAGCGGCCTCAGGGAACCCAGTATGACCTCCAACATGGCTCAGAAAGCCCAAGCTGGCTCAAGATGGCTCCGAAGATGCTCCAAGCGGCCCCAAGACCGCTCCAAGACGGCTCGAGATGGCCGCGGAGCCTCCCAAGCCCCCCCTCGTTGGTTGACTATGCGTGTGTCTTCCTCTCTCCACCCGTCAACTCTCATGGGCATCGTTGCTGGATGGGCTGGCGGGGATATTTTTTTTGGGAGGGGTCCGCGGGCTCGCTCGCAAAGCAAATCGAGAGCCGGGCAAAACTAGGGCGGGCCGCGCCGAAGCAACAGGGAAAAACAAAACGGAGCAACGCCAGGCTCAGATACGGGCTCAGCGCCCAACAAAACGCAAGACATGGCAGACCGGCACGATGACCAGGACGACGAGGGAGTCCGAGTGCGCCACGCTTGCCGAGAAAGGAAAGCGGCCAAACCATGTCGCTTAAGTACCCTGCCGAACACGAAGCGCTGGGCCCAGAAGATCTTCGCGACGTGGAACAGCAAGTGAGCCAGCAGGGGCAGCGGGAACGCCTCCAAGACGGGCAGAAGATAAAAACCGTCGTTAAATTCCCCAGGTGAACATGTACAGCGCGAAGTCCATGAACCCTTCGGCCAGACAGACAGTCATAGATACGAGCAGGCAGCCCCGTAGGAACAGCATGAACGACAGCGAGAGACCGGCGTGGGCAACGCGAGGAAGTCGAGCCAAGCGGACGCCGAGGAGACAAGCGGCCTCCAGGTCCCCAGGCAGTAGCACGCGTAGTCGGGCAGCGACAGCGCGGGCTGGGGCGCTGTGCGAGGAGGAAGCGGGGTTGGCCAGGCTGCGGCCGCTCCGCGCCCTCCAGCGGGCAGGTCAGAGTCCCCCCAGGTTTCGTGGCCGTCCTGGAGCGCGGCTGCCAGCCTGGACCAAGGGCGCCTGTCTCCGCGGTGGGGCATCGCCTTCCTTGCCCGTGCCATCGCCACGCCACAGGTGCCGCGCGCTCAGCTGCTTCCAGCAGGCCCCGAGGTGCAGCGCGTCGCCCGTGGACCGCGCGCCCTCTTGATGGTGGCGGAAGGAGCTCCAAGAAGCTGACGCGCGTATGCTGGTCGTGCCGGAGCGGGTCGAGTGCTGCTCTGGAGCTGGGCGAGGCGTGCTCTTGGGCGAGCGCGTGCCGGGCGCCTGTGAACATCGCCCCCGAAGTGACTCGGAGTCGCTGGATCTTTTTGCCCGGGCCACCCCCGTAAACGGCCCGCTGCGCGCCTTCGATCTTGACTTTGTAGACTGCTTTCCCGCATCGGGGTCCAGGGTTTCAGCCGATGGCGGGCGGCGCGACGCCGCCCCCCTCGGGCGCGGCGGCTCGCTGGTTCCAGGCGTCGCTGCTGCTGCTGCTGCTGCTGCTGCTGTCGCCGTGCTCGCCGCCTGTCGTCTGTCGCCTGTCAGACCCCGCCAGGCCGTCGACGTTGCATGCCAGGCACCAGGTTCCGCCCCGCGGGCGGCAAAGGGCTGGGGGGCAGCAGATTCTCGGGGCCAGGCCCAGTGTCCAGCCGCGTCCAGGCAGATGCGCCAGCGGCGCGCGCTGGCCACGGCGCCGTCGCTCCTCGGCGCTGGGACTCGCGCTGTTGCAGGGGGGGGTGGTGTCAGGTTGGGGCGCGTCCGTCCGCGCGTCGCTGCCACGGGCTGGAAGGCCAATCGAGGAAGTGCGCGGGCGGGTTCTCGCCTGCCCCTGTTCGTCTGGCGCCCCGGCTTCTGTTCCAACGGCTGCTCTGTCCCCAGGTCATCGGCGTCGGCGTCGGCGTCGGCGTCGTCGACGTCGGCGTCGGCGTCGGCGTCGTCGTCGGCGTCGTCGGTCGTGTGTTGGCAGTCAGACCCTGCCGGGCCGACGACGTTGCCGGGCACCAGGTTCTGCCCCGCGGGCGGCAAATGGCTGGGGGGCCGACGGTTCTCGGGGCCAGGCCCAGTGTCCAGCCGTATCCAGGCAGACGTGCCAGCGGCGCGCGCTGGCCGCAGCGCCGTTGCTCCTCGGCGCTCGGACTTGCACTGTTGCAGGGGAGGGCGGCGTCAGGACGGGGTGCGTCCGTCCGCGCGTCGCTGCCGCGGGCTGAAGGGTCACTGGAAGTGCGCGGGCGGGTGGTCCCCTGCTCCTGCTCGCCTGGCGCCGCTGGCTTCTGCTCCAACGCCTACTCTGTCCGCAGGTCGTCGGCGTCGGCGTCGGCGTCGGCGTCGGCGTCGGCGTCGGCGTCGTCGTCGTCGTCGTCGTCGTCGTCGTCGTCGTCGTCGTCGTCGTCGTCGTCGTCGTCGTCGGCGTCGGCGTCGGCGTCGGCGTCGGTCAGCGCGGGTGGCGGGGCTCCGCCGCGAGGGCCCAGCGTCGAGGATGTGCGCGGGTGGGTGGTTGCCTGCTGCAGCTCGTCTGGCGCCCCTGGCTTCCGCTCCAAGTCCTGCTCTGTCCCCGGGTCGCCGGCGTCGGCGTCGTCGGCGAGAGGGCGGGCCGCGCTCGTGCCGGGGCGGCCGGCGACGGCTGGCGGCGCAGCGGGGGTCTTGCCCGCTCCAGGACAACGGCTGCGCGGCGCCGCCCTCCCCCACCTCCTCCGCAGGGGGGCCGCCACCTCCAGGTTGGCAATGGGGCGGGGGGTGGGGGGGTTGGGGCGTCGTCTCCAGGCGCGCAACTGATCGTCGCGAGAGTCCTATGAGAGACGGGAGGGGCGGAGGGGGGGAAGCAACGTCTCCAGGTGGGCGACTGATCGTCGCGAGTGCCCCGTGTGAATCTTCCCCAGGTAGGCGACATATCGTCGCAAATTTACCTTGGGGGGCGGGGGGGGGGGGGGCGCCATCTCCAGATAAGCGACTGACCGTCACATGATTCGGGGGGCCCGTGTCGGGCCAACCGGGCCCTGGCGGCCCTGGCGCCGCGCCGCGCCCGGCGAGCAGAAAGCGCGTCTCTCTCCGCCTCGCATCGCAGGGGGCCAGGAAGAGCTCGGGGCTTTGGCGCAGACGCCGCGCGTGGAGCAGGCCAAATTGCCATGGCTGAACATGCCGATGCACGCAGTCGTGGTCGGGCGAACGGTGGCGATCAGGGCCGCCAGCTCCCTCTGCTTCGCGGCAGCGCTGCTGGGCGTTATCTCCTGGAAGCTGAAGTCGCCCGTCATGGCAACGTGGCCCGCGGGCAGGTCTTGGGGCAGCGCGCCGAGTGCGAGCGCGCCGCGATCTACGCCCAGTCTGCGGCGGGAGCCTCCGCGTCGACGAACTGGCCCTCCTCGCCCACCGCCGCGCTTGTGCGATCTCGGCCGCCAACTTCTCCTGCCTGTCCCTGGCGTCGCTGGATGTCGGCACCTGGGGGCCGAGGTCGCCCGTCGTGGCAGCGGGGCCAGCGGACAGGTCCTGGGGCAGCTCGCTGGAGACGCTACGCGCCACGGTCTGCGCCCAGCCCGCTGCGGGGACCTCGGAGGTCGCCTCGGGGTCGCTTGGATTGTCGGCGGCCATCGGGCGGCGACAGCCACCCTGGCGGCATGCTGGTGATCTCTGCGGTGATGTAGCTCGTCGTCGCCAATATGGACGCACGTCCTTGCATCAACTCAGTCGAGCGCTGGCGGGCGGAGTTCTCCGCGCGCGGTGAGGCTGGCGGGACCCCGGCCAACCGGGTCCCAGACTCTCATCTCGCTCTCGAGGGCGCGCAGCGGAGAGCCCTCGTGGCGCGCCCAGCCGCCCGCCGCGGCGGATGGCTTGCCCCGGCGACGCGCTCTTCCTGGCGAGCGGAGGGCGCGTCGCCCCGTTCCGCGGCGCAGGAGGCCAGGAATAATTCGGGACATTGGCGCGGCCTCGCCTCTCCTTGTCCCTGGCCTCGCTGGATGCCTTGGAGCCGAAGCCGCTCGCCGCCAGCGGACAGGTCCCGGGGCGGCAGGTCCTGGGGCAGCTCGCTGGAGACGCCGCGCGCCGCGACCTGCGCCCAGCCCGCCACGCGCCGCGACATGCGCCCTGGGTCGGACCGCAGGCCCCAGAGGAGGCGGCGTTCGCCACCGCGGCAGCAGCGGCGGCCGCAGAGGCGGCAGCGGCGGCCGCCGCAGCAGCGACGGCCGCGGCGGGCCCCAGCGCGGCCGCACGAGCCACGGCCGCGGCAGCTCGGGCCTAGTTGCCGGAAGCGGCGGCGGCGGCCGCGTCGGCGGCGGCCGCGGCGGGCACCGCGCCGGCGGCGCCAGCGGCAGTGGCGGCGGCGGCGCCGGCGGAAGCCGCGGCAGGCCGCGCGTCGGCGGCGGCCACCGCGGCCGCGGCAGCGCCAGCCGCCGCGGCGGGGGCAGACCAAGCGGCGGCGGCAGCCCCGCGATGGGCAGCAGGCTGCGGCCACCGCGCCGGCGGCGCCGCAGCCGACCCAGCAGCCGCCGCGGCCGCGCGTCGGCCGCCGCGCCAGCGGCCGCAGCAGTGGCCGCAACGCCAACGGCCGCGCCAGCGGCGCGCGCAGCGGCTGGCCCTAGGGCGCAACGCGGGCCACGGCGGCCGCGGCGCCAGACGAGCAGGCCGCCGCGGCGGCGGCAGCCGCGTCAGAGGCGGCGGACGCGGCAGCGGCGCCCACGGCGGGGCCGGCGCCGGCGGCCGCGGCGCTGGCGGCCGCGGCGGGGACGGCGGCCAGCCACGCGGAGCCGGGGGCCGCGACCGTGCGGCGTTGGCGGCGCCGTCGGCGGCCAGGGGCTGCGGTAGGCCAGGCGGCGGCACCGCGGGGCCAGCCCGAGCCGCGCCAGGGGCGCGAGCAGCGGCCGCGCGACGCAGCCGCCGCCGCCGCCGATGCCGAGCCGTGGGGGCCTCGGCGCCGCCGCCACGCCGGCTGCGCGAGCGGCGGCAGCCTGGCGCCGCAGCCGCCGCAGCGGACTCCATCGCCCGGTGGCAGCGGCCGAAAGGGGAGGGAGGGGAGACCCCCCCGTTCAAGCCGCCGCCGGAGGCCCGCGGGAGCGCCCGCCAGGCCGCGCAAGCCACTTCGAGCAGAGACGGCTTGAGCCAACGTTTGAGCCAGTATGGCTACGGACCTGGTGGGGGTACTTTTTGGTCGCGGCCGCGGGCGAAAGCGCACACGGCGTGTCGTAAGTCCGGGGCGCGGGCCTACTCATTGACAGCAGCAAACTAGAGCCGACAACCTAAATTGCCTAAGCGGACTAAGCGGCGCCTCGCGTGAGCTGCAAGCTGTGCTGAAAGTGGATGCCGACCTGGTGGGGAGCTTATATATATACATATATATATACATATATATATATATATATATATATATATATATATATATATATATATATATATATATATATATATATATTATATATTACAGCCGCGGGCGGAAACGCCAACGGCGGCGAATAACGGTCGGGCTGCGGCCGAAACTAATTGGCCGGAATCGCGCGCGGGCCGCGGCCGGCGCCGGGGCGGCGGGTGCAAGGGTGCTGCAACCCAGGGTGTCTGACGCCCAGGGACCTGCACCCAGGGAGTCTGTAACTACGCTGCCAAAATGGCGCGATGCAAATAACCCCTGGTGGGGATACGTGAAACGTCAAAAAATCCCCCCAAAACCAACGCGCAACCCGCTCTACTCCGTGAGACTGAAGGCGGCCGGACAGCCCAGGAACGTCACATGAGAAGCCGCCAGGAGCACGGACGCCACTGGGAGAGGGAGAAAGAGCGGGGAAGTCAACGAACTGCAAGCAAGAGACAACGAAGAGACACGACGCCAGGAGGGCATGGGCACGGGAGCCGGGGCGAGGGGGGCCAGAGAACGAGGACGAGGACACAGGATGAGCAGACGAGCAGCGGAGAACGGACGGGGCGAGACCGGCTGCACAGCGGCAAAGGCGCCAAGGCCCGGCGCTCGATCGGGAGCGGGGCCCACGATCGGCATGGCGCAACTGCACCTCAGCGGCGCGTGCTGGGGCAGGCCGGATCAGGATCGGGGCCGGGCCTCCGAGGCGAGCCAGTCAAGACAGCGGCGGCCCTATCTGGCGCTCTCTTCGCGCTCTTGGAGCCTCCTGGAGGCTTCGCGTCGCCGCGGCCAGATCCGCATCGGAGAAGCGGGGCAAGATGGACCCCCGCGAGGGTTCCGGGAGCCGCTTCTGAGCGCATCGGGGCCCGGCGGGAGAGCCGCCGTTGTCTCAACTGGTCCTCCTCCGAAAGGGGGCGCCTCTGAGGTCGGCGCCTGCGTCCAGGCCCCATCCCTCCCGCAGGCGGTCATCGCGGCGTTGAAGCTGATGCCGTCGGGCTGCAGCCTGGCCTCCCCCATGTCGCTCAGCAAGAGCAGCGCCTTCTGCCATCCCCCGCCGTGCCCGCACGCGCTGATTCCGGCGTTGTAGCTGACTAGGGTGGTTGACCCATGGACTACGCCACGAAATCTGCACGAACTAGCACGTGATGGGGGACATGCTATCGAAACGCTGACTGAGCTGGTAACGTGGGACACGAAATCTGTACCTCGGGCATGATGCTGCGTGCTGCTGCTTGCTGTCGCCATTGCGTGTTTTTGGTAGTGCTTGCCGCTGCCGCGTGCTGCTGATGCTGGTGGCTGCGCGGCGCTGCTGATGACCAGTTCTGCTCGGGGCGTGCTGCTGACCGCTGCCTGCTGCTGCTGCTGCTGCTGCTGCTGCTGCTTGCTGTTGCTGCGTGCTGCCGCTGCTCCTGCCCGATTCGTGCCGCTGCCGTTTGCCGTTGCTGATTGATGCTGCAAGGTGCTGCTTCTCGCCACTTCAGCTTGCTGACGTAACCTGCTGCCAGGAGAGGAGTTGGGATCGAGGAAATCGAGGGGGAAGGGGGGAGAAGCGAGGAACGCTTACAGAAGAGCGAGGAGCGAGAAGGGAGGAGCGACGGCCGAAGAGAGGGGCAATCACGGAGGAGGGAGCCGAGGAGGGAGAAAACGGGACGGGAAGGGACCTCCTGGGATCTTGAGACATCTGGACCGTCTCGGAGCTTTGTTGGGTTGTCTTGGGTCTCTCGGGCCATCTTGGGTCGATCTCGCCCCGAGGCTCGGAAAAAAAAAAAAAAACGAACATGCGGAAATCCTTCCCCAAAAACTGGGAATCCGCCGACACTGTCGGCGTGTGTGAAGGACTTGGCTGTTCGAGTCGTCGTCTCCGTCAGTCGTCGTCTCCGTCGTCCCCTTTCCCTGCGCCCTTCCTCAAGCTTGTCAGCCAGAGAACATTCCAGCAATGTCGTAATCGAGTCGAAGGGAAGCCCCTTCCCTTTGGTCCCTTCCCCGCGCCCTGGGCGGGTTCCTGTGGGGTCCTGGGGGTCCTGGTGGGGTCATGAGAGGTTCCTGGGGGGGTTCTGGGGGTGTCCTGCGGAGGTCCCGGGGGCTGGTCGCCACCCAGATGCGTTTCCCACCCTGGGGTCCCTGGAGCATCAGAAAGTATACCAAGACAGGCCAAGAGTGCCCCAAGAGGCCGCCGAAATGGTCCAAGAGGGTCCCCAATCGTCGGTCCAAAACGCCTTCACGCCCTCCAGACTGCCCAGGAAGCCTCCAGGACGCCCCAAGACGCTTCCAATAGCACTCCCGAGAGGGCCCCAAGAGGCCGAATCCATTGACCTTGCATCAGTTTTTGAAAGATTCGGGCGTTCTCGCCTTTTCCTCTCCCCGCCGCTCCAGAACGGCGCCAGGGGCCCCCAAGACGGCCCAAGAGGCCTCCAAGAAGCCTCCAAGAGGGCCCCCAAACAGCCCAAGGGGATTCCAAGACAGCCCAAAACGCCTCCAATATTTTTTTTGACATGAACTACGAGGCGAAAGATTAGCACCACGGTACTGGCCCCACAGTGAGGTCATCTCTTTGTGGGTGCCGCCCCCTGCAGATTCGATTGAACAAGGTTCTCTGCTTGGGCGTGGGCTCGGTACACTCCTTAGCCAAGCCTCGAACATGGCTGTGAGCGGCATAAGAATAGCATCGGATACAAACTGTAATAACCGTGCCATTAGAAACGGGAATCGCGACAGGAACGTGGCCTAACTCCCGCAAAACTGGGCCGTCCAGGCGAGAAAAATCGACACAAACACCAGGCGGTGGGGGCAGACCAGAACCCTCGATAGTGCGCCCCCGCAAGCAGTTCTGACACCTCCAGGGATTGCGAGCACCGTAGGAGACGTGAGCCCACTCATGGGGAGGGCCCTGGGGCTCCTTGGGCTCGGGTGCCGGAGCAATCCAGGGGGCGTCCGACAAATCGAGGCGGGGCCACCTGGGGAGGAGATTGGCCGCCAGGGAGCACACCGCCTTAGAAACGCGAATATGCAAGTCGAGCTCTCTGAGCTCGCCGTCTGCAGCCCTAGGATGAGACCAAGCGGCAAGCTTGGCGGCCTCGTCGGCCTCTGAATTCCCAGTGCGCAGCCAGCGCTCCTGGTGAGAAATTCCCGCTTCGCGCGGGTCGAGATGGGCTTTGACTTTAACGGCCTCGTCGATTAAAGCAACCCCTGCCCGAAACAGCATCATTGGCCCCGCGAGCGGGCGCTTATAACTGAGCTGGGCGGCAAGGGGGGCTTGGCACTGCTGGACAACATTAGCACGGTCAGAATAAAAGGTGGAAAGGCCACTAATCTCCATTCCACCGCGGGCAACTCCCGCAAATTCGGAACACTGGGGCGTCTGGGGGAAAGGGGCGTGCACAGGCCCGAGGGGCCTGCCAAGCCTACGACCATCATCGCCAAGAGCCATAAGCCCATATCCCGCGCGGGACAATTCGCTAATCTCGTGTCGATGGCAGCTGCCATCAACGCAGATATTACCTGCAAGTGTGCCACCATCCTGGGCGGGTTCGTCCCAGAGCATGCGGGCTTGAACGGGTCCGTTCTCGCTAGCAGGCCTAGGAAAGCTATCCCCAGGATAAGGGAAGAGGCCCCTGTTGAACAGCAGGTAGTCGAGGGGGTCGGACATATCCGCGTCAGCGGCCATCCTGAGAATATCGGGATCCACCAGCTCTTCTCTTAACGAGGCAACAGACGGGCAACTCCAGAGCCTGTGGAACGTAGTAACTTCTTTTTTCCAGCACAATGCACAAACGTTGTTGACAAGATATCCAGATTTTTCTGCACGGACATACGCCCACGCTGCTTCGCACGCAAGAGCACGAATACAACCTTTCCCGAGGTAAGAGATCTTAGACGATCTTAGTAGATTGCGGACGATGTCGAAACAAAGACGAGGGCACTCGACCTTGGCCTTGACAGCCGCTTCCCTCTCGAGACTGCGGGGCGAGGCAGCGTGGAGCATTTTCTTAACCATCGCTGGCGGTATAGCAATAAGAAGAAATGTCTCGCCAAAGTCATTGACACACGTAGCGAAATCGGTCATATGCCAACCAATTCTCTTCAGCGAAAGTCTTAGAGCCGACAGAGGTCCTGAAACTTGCCTCCAAAGCGGTTCAGGCCAAGCGACAACCACCTCCCATCCCTCCCGCAATTGCCTCCAACTGGGCGAAAACGGGTAGGATTGCGTCTGTAGCGCCCAAACCTCCGTGGAATAACGAAGAATAGGAGAAACAGCTCCAAGCCAGACAGGATCATTGTGGCATATCATAGTCGCCGTCAGGGATCGTCCTTTGGCACTGGGCCTAAGAACCTTCCCAGCCTCCTTCCTAACCTTCAATAGCTCAAAATCAGACAACCCATTGATTTCATAACCGTATAAAATGCCAGGAAGAGCCCCAGTGATCCAAATGCGGTTAGAGTACTTCCCAAGGCCGCACTTCATCCTGATAATCTTTCTGGTAGCCTGCTTAAGATGCTGAGCTCTAGCACGGAACTTTGTGCCTCGACGGGCCACTCGTCTGGCTTTGCCACCTGCATCATCAATGCCTAAGTTGACCGTGCTGTCAGTCTCCTTGCCAGCGTACGGCCCCGAAAACTCGCGCATGGCCCTGGTCGCAGCATGACTAGAGCTCACCAGCGCGGCCTTGCCCACCGCAATCCTGCAGTCACAGTCATGCGTGGTAGCTTGAAAGAGTTGTGTACTGGCACTCTTGAGACCATGCACTACCTCAGCCACAGATCCGACAGCAGAAACAGCGCTATCGTCGATGTACTGGTCGAACGATACATTGTTAGGATACTGAATGTTGGTAAAGGCCTCGATCGTGTAAACTTTCACGAACGAAGTGGCGAAACTACATCTAGCGATGACCCCTTTCATGGCATAGAAGGGCCCCGAGACATACCCAGCGAGACAGACGAACCGAGCAGATTGATACGAGGATATAGCCAGACGAAAAATAGCAGGGGGAAAGTTGAACTTGTTGCAGTGATACTCTAGACGCCTGAGGCATGTACCTTCATAGAACTTGGCCATGTCCCACAAAAGAGTAGCGCTAACTTTACCCGAGGAGTTGGAGGTCTCTGCCCTGGAACTTTGCCTCCATACCACATCGCTTGCTGACGCGAACGACTGACCAGCATAGAAACTCCTCTGGTACTGCAGCTCCCACTGAAGGGCGTAGCAGCGCCTGCAGCGGCACCAGAGACGGTATATAGAGCAGAAGAGACCTACCGGCCTCCAGCCACCAGAAGGTTTCATAAGAAGTGCGAGCTGCACAACCTGTAGCTGGGCTGGAAGGGTAGAACATAATTCCATTATGTACATGATGTAGCAAACCGTTTCCAGACATTCATCACTCATCCAGGAATAATGTCGCATACGAAACCCATCCAGCCCACAAGCGGTCCTCAGGGAATACTTCCTAGAGACAGACCTAACAAACTCGACCGACAACAGAGGGAGGGGCATCGTGACCGTCCTGGCCCCTGGAGGCCTCGGCCTCTTGGAGGCCTCCCACAAGTCCGAGAAAATTTGTGCCTGCCCTTCGACAAGGGACAGGGGATCGGAAACCACAACACCCGAAGAACTCAACGTCGTCGAGGGTTTCCAGCCCGCAGCAGGCCGACGGGCGAGGTGCGCATTTCTTCCCCCTAACTCGATGTTATGTCTAAGCCAAGCTTTCCAACCTTTGGTCCCGTCAATCCTGGCCTTGCTCTGCGCCGAAGCCACCGCAGCCTCCAGCCAGTGAAGGAGCTCTCTAAGATGGGGCGGCCGCTCCTGAATGTGTCTACCTGCCCTAGGATCGCAGCAGACGTCACTAGGGGCTTGCGCCCCGACCAACATATTTCGAGCCCGCGTGTGGCTCACGAGGGGAAGAGGGAAACCTTGCACGTCAAACGTGCACTCGTGCATGGCCTGCTCGGCCTGGTCCAGATCGTCGAAAGGGTCGGCATAGGCATCATCTAAACCTAAAGAAACCAGAGCAGGTTTGGGGGCCCCAGGGCCCAGGGTAACCTCGGGAACCTGGGCTCCCTCAACACCAAGCGGAAACGACTCTCTATCAGAAAACTCAGCCGAACCTTCCTTCTGCGCAAGACGGACAAAATCCTGCGTCTGAGAAATCAAATCACGACAAGTTGCGAGACCCGCCTCCATCTCGGCAGGAGGGCTCAGCAGCAGAGCAGCTTTGAGCCCGAGCTCCTTGGGGAAGTGGGCGATGCGTAAGCCCACTTCTTGAAAGTCAGCAAGAACCACTTGAGGCCGAACAGCTGTGGGTGACGGCCTTTGCAAGAATCAACCTTGAAAACAGGAACCCAACGAAGCTTCGGCATTTTACCCCTGGCTCCCCAATACGGTAACGAGACCTGGGCAGCAGAGGCGACCTCAACCTCAGCCATACGGGCCCAACGGCTGTACAACCTCGAAAGCCCATCAAGCTGGTTGCTGACACCCTCACCAGGGACCAGGGAGTTGATGATGCCCCTGGCCAGCCCCTGGAGTTTATCCCAAGACGGGGGCTTAGGGTCAGGCCCGATAGGCTTGACAGCAGGAATCGGGGGCGGCTTCGAGAAGGCGAGGGCTTGCATCCTGCAGGCCTTCGGAAATAAAATCAACTGAACAGGTGAATGGGGAGTAATGTGGGACGTTTCGACTGTTTCCACGGCCTGAATGACTTTGTAAATCCCAGGAGTAACCACGAAGAAGTCCAAAACTTTTGGCCCTCCCGTAGTGCTGCAGGTACCTCCAACCTTCGGAAACACGACGTCCCCTCCAAGCTTCTCGGGGAAGCCGCCAGCAATGATATCGTCAGGGGACATGTTAAAGTCGGCTGCGATCACAGCCTCATTCGAGTATAAGGTAGAGGCAGCGCCCACTGCACTCAATATGGACAAATTTCGGTCAAAACGCCTCCAAAATGGCCCCAGATAACCCCAAGACGGCTCCAAGAGCGTGCCCAGACGGGGGACCCGAACGGACATTTCGACCCTTCGGCCCCAAGAGGCTACCAGGAGGCCCCAAGAGGTCCCCCAGAGGCCCACAAGGAGGGCTCCAAGAAGGCCCCAGGACGCCGCCGAGCGCGGGCCCACCATTCTGCCACGAGAGGTCTGTCTGTGGCAGAATGCACCCGGCCCTGTCTTGGAGGGGCCTGAAGATCTCAAACGAGCCACCCAAGTACAGGCGTCATGGGGCCTTGTCGGGGCCCTCTTGGGGCCCTGCTGGCCACCTCTTGGAGCCCCTCGGGAGCGCTCACACCCTGTCCTGGCCCCCTCTTGGGGCCGCCATGGGCGCCTGAGGAGCCGTCCTGGCGCAGTCTTGAGCCGTCTTGGGGGCCCTCCTGGCAGCCTCCTGAGGCGTCTTGGGACGATCTTGAGGGCCTGTGTGGCCGTCGTGGACGCTTCGGAGACGACAAGCACGGGAACTCCCTAAATGAACGTTTCCCTCAAGGATTGCGACGATTTTCATTTGTTCGGCCCGAAGAGGCCCCCAAGAGGCTCCCAAGAGGCCCCCAAGAGGCTCCCAACAGGCTCCCAAATTCCTCCCCAGATGCCCCCCCAGAGACTTCCGAAGAGACCCCAAGAACCATCCCTGAGGACTCTGGCCCACGTCAGCGTCGTCGTCGTCGTCGTCGTTGCCGCCGCCGCCGTTGTCGTCGTCGTCGTCGTCGTCGTCGTCATCGTTGTCTTCGTCGTCGTCGTCGTCGTCGTCGTCGTCGTCGTCGTCGTCGTCGTCGTCGTCGTCGTCGTCTCCCTTCAAGGTCGCCGGCGCCGGCCGTAAGGCCTTCGCAATACTTGTTTTTGGCTGCTGGAGGCTCTTCCAGGGTCCCCATTGAGCCATCGTGGAGCGCGCTGGGGACCACTCCGACGGCGGGAGGTCATCTTGGGCCGCCTGGGCCGTCTTGGAGACCACTTGGGCAGTCTGGTGCCTCTTTTCGAACGTCTTGGAGCTCTCTGGGGGCCCTCTTTTGGGCCGTCTTCGAGCGCCTCGGAGGCGTCAGGGAGCGCGCTGGGGCCTGCAGGGCCGATTTTGGTCTACCTGATTGTAGCACCTTTCTGGCACGCGGCGCTCCTGACATTGTGAAGAGATGACATTGGGCTCCATCCTCGCCTCCCGCATTTCGTTGAACAGCGCCAGGGCCCGCTGCCATTGCTCGCCTTTCTCGCACGCGCTGATCCCAGCGCTGTAGCTAATCACGTCAGGCTCTGGAATCGCCTCGCGCATCTCGCTGAGCAGCGCCAGAACCCGCTGCCATTGCTCGCCCTTCCCGCACGCGCTGATCCCAGCGTTGTAGCTGACTAGGGCAGACCCGTGGACATCCACAGCATGCGGCCCGATCTGGTCACAACTCCCCCAGCGGCCACGAAACCCTACTCGCATGCAAAGGTGATGTTCGTTGTGTATGCGACTTCTGGTCAGCAATGCTGCCAACGACGTTGCTGGCCGGGTGGCCTACAGCTCGTAGCCTGATCGCCTCATTTCTTTGTTGCCTGCTTCATTGCTTGCTCCTCCGCTCGCTGCCGCTTGATGCCGCTTGCTGCTTGGGACCGTCTTGAGGTCATCATGTAAAGGAGCGTTGCGTTACCACCCCCCTCCTAGCCCCCCTCAGGGCTGCCCGCTATTCTTCGCCCGATGTCGACGCACGTGCCTCTGGCAATCTTTGGCCGCCTAAGCATGTATCGTTATTCTTCACCTCGACGAAGATCTATAACTCTTGAACTTGAGCAATGTGGGCCGTCTTCGCGGCGCGCCGGGCCAGTCCGATGCCGTGGGAGGCCCTGCGGGTGCGGAAGGTGCCAGAGGGGCAGGAGAAACGGGCGAGGAGGAGTGAGGGGATATGAGCAAGGAGAGAGGAGCGTTGCACAGTGGCGAGAGAGCGAGAGGAGAGAGGGTCCAAGAACGACAAGCGCGCGAATCTCCCAATGAATTCGACGCGCGCGTGGCCAAACCTTTCAGCAAGGAGGGGTGGGGATATTTCCGACAAGCGCATCTCCAGTCCTGCTGCGCCGGGGCGCTCCTGGAGCCGTGGAGAGCTTGAGGGCGCAATCCAATGCCTGGGCAGTGTGTTGAATCTGTCCGCGGCAGGCCGGAGGCCTCAGCGATGGACTCCGGGGGCCGCGGACGCAATTTAACACGCCACCCTCGCGTTAAATTTTGTCCTCAAGCTCGGGGGGCTCGGGGCCCTCACGTTAAGTCTCGATCTCGGGCCCAGGCCCCGCGTGCAATTTCGCCCTCGAGCGGTCATGCCGCGCGCTGTGGCGGCCTTGGTGGGCCTCCATGGGCTCGGGTCGGAGCCGTCGTAGGCGGCGTCGGCTCCTGGGGCGTCTTGGGGCTATCCTTGAAGGTGTCTGGGGCCGTCTGGGGCCATTCTGGGGCTCCCTGCGGTCATCGTCGGCGGCCGGAGCCTGAAAAAAGCTGGATGGGTGAAATCTTTGGAAATTCGTGGTCGCGCTCGGAGTGTCGGTGGAGCGCTCGTACTTCGAGCATCGGGCGACTCGGCGCGTCTTCCTGCGCCGCAGGGCAAGATGCAACGCCTGGGCAGCGTGATAGATCTTGCCCGCGCCAGGGGCCGGGGCCCCAGAGCCCGGCCCCGTGGGGCGCGTACAAAATTTAACGCGGCACGTTCGCGCAAAACCTCGTCCTCTGGGGAATAAGGCGCGTTGAATTTCGCCCTCGAGCTCGCCGGAGGCGCCAGGGGGCGTTTTTCTGGGTTTTGATTGAGAGGCCCTTCTCGCACGCACGTGTGCCTGCAATGCGGGTGAGACTAAGGCGAACCCGCGGGCGTCGCCCACGACCAGCAAGTCCCCCTGGCGCACCTCCACGTTGGGCCCCCGCCCAGGAAAAGTCACCCCGAAGCCTTCGGTGATTTCTTCCGGCCGCCTTTCCGAAAATGGAAGGCGGGCGCTTGCTCCTCCTCGTCCGCCTTCCGCTCTACCTCCTCCTGGACAGCCTTCGGGACGTCACAAACGGCTATGGTGGGTCTGCGGTGTGCGTCTCGCCGCTTGTCTGCCCCCCTCTGGTGTGAACAATTTTGAAAGCACCTGGGGCCTAAAAAAAATCACCCAGAGGGCTCTGGTGACTTTCTCCCGGTTGCCTCTTCGAAACCTGTTTCGGGGCCTCCCGGGATTTCTTTTCGGGCTCCTGGGGGCCTCCTGGGGGCCTCTTGAAGCCCTGTTGGGCCGTCTTGCGGCCTCCTGGGGTCCTCTTGGAGCCACCATTGGGCCGTCTTGGGTGCCTTTTGGGGCCGTCAGGGGGCCGTCTTGGGCGCCTGTGGGGCCGTCATGGGACCGCGGCGACGGCGGCGGCGGCGGCGGCGACGACGACGACGACGGCGGCGGCGGCGGCGGCGCCGAGCGGCGAGAAGTCGGGCTTTCTCCGCCGGGCTCCCAAACACCACGATCATGGCGATGATGCCTGCAGTGCCCGCCTGCTTGCCTTGTAGTGCCCACCTGTTTCATCCAGATTCATCGGCTTGGATCCGAATCAGCCCGAAAGCAATGGCAAGTTAAACCCGACGCCACGTTACATCGCGCGCTCGCTGTCCCATGCGGCCAATGGAGTTGGACATCTTTGATCGCGTCTGCTAGAACATGTAGGTCCGCATGCGCAGCGGTAAAATAGCAGGCCTGTCGCCCGGCAGTGCCCGCGGGTGTCAGAGCGAAACTGCGCCCCAAATTGAGAAGCAACTCTGAATGACGCAAAGCCTGCCGTTGGTCGCTATTCCCTGTCAGTTTTTCCTTCAATTCCCGAAATGTATCGACAGCTCCAGAATGCACAAGCAATGTCTTCACCGTGCGAGTCAGCGAAATGTGCATCGGAAGTCGCCGCCTACAACCTCTGCCGGTAGCTCCTGCAACGCGCCCCCGTGACAAGCGAGCCAAGTGGCATCAAATTTGCGCGCCCATCCACTCGCCTCCGTGCACTGAATCGCCTTTCGTAAAATCGAATCCCCGGTTGCTGAGCTGCCTGCGTCCAGCTGCCAAGTGAATTTACAGCACTGCGGGCAAAGCAAGCGTCCTCTAGGATATGTTTTGCTCCTTTCCTGGTGGGTGCTCTTCTCAAGCCCGGGCTCCTACTAAGGCGTGCGAGTTAGGCCTTGGATGAATCCAGACACTCATTAACAATCTTCAAATTGCTTCCTTCAGGGATATCCATGGAACAGTACTGCTCTGGATTAGGCCCACGGCGGTTGCTCCTTGAAGGCAACTTCCAATCCTCACAAAGCACCCGCAAGACTCAATCGTATGGTTTTTCCTGCTGGGGCCAACCTGGTCGACGTTGGTTGCTGGGCCTTTCTGACTCTCGCCATCACCACTTACGTTCCTCGCAAAACAAGCCCTGAACCGTGTGGTAGTTTACTAATGACCCGTTCGGGTCCAAGGCGGCGCGCTACGAAGAAACGCGCTACGGGCATCAGGCCGCTGCGACAGGCTCGATCAGCCCATCCGGCGGCGCGCCTGATGCTCGTCCCAAGACTGCATTACCTACTTCATCTGCTCCTGTTCCGAGGTCGGATACTTAGCCTACAGCTCAAACCGATCATCTGTCGGGCACGCAACGTCAGATGGCGCGCGAAGGAGTTTCCACGAATGCCTCCATGACCAATGGAAGCCAGCAGTTGCCTCGCAGTCTTAGCAGATCTTTCCAGGTGTACTTGGGGGAACCACGAAAACCGATTGCACATCTGGACTAGCAGATGAGATCTGCAGCTGTCGATTGAACCGCCTCAACGCCCTCTGGGAACTCGCGCTTCACTTGGCTACCCCGCTTTTCTCCTTCCTCGTCGCCCGCCTCCTCCTCGCGTTCACCATGTCTGTGTCCTCCGTGCGATGAGAGGTCCAAGTGGGCATCGTGACTCTGACGATGACGCTTACAGTCAGATTCCGCGAAAGACTTCCAATCGCCATTGCTTGGATGGCTGTTGCTGGCCCGCGCAGATGCAATTCCCGTCTAACTGTTTCTCTAGCGCCATGTGAACGCCGGGCGGTAGCTGCATCGAGAGACGCAACCCGGTCAGAAGGCGCGGTAATGATGCGGAAGCCGCCGACAATACAAGCAAGGGGCAACTCGAGCCAAGTGCCGACGGAGGGGCGCGCGGCGAGACGAGCCACGAATCAGTGCATGCATATGAAATGCAGAAATACCAATTGAACGAGTGATTCCTGCGCAGGGACCCCAAACCGTGTTCAACTATTGTCATTGCGCGTAATTTGCATGGCCCTTGAGGCGCCTCGGAAATCAGCCGCCCCCTGTCGATTCATTGAGGGGGTGCCTGGCGTGTTGAACTAATACGGTTTTGGTTTTGGTTCTTTTTCCTAAGAAACTCCCCCTGGGGCTTCGGCCCGTCCCGCCGGCCATCCGGAAGGATGCCGAAAAATCATCCGGAGGTGGTTGCAAAGGGTTTTTCCGTTCCAGACGGCTCCAAGATGGCCTAAGATGGCCTCCAAGACGGCCCAAGATGGCCTCCAAGACGGCTAAAATGGCCCCAGGATGCTTCCAAGATGGCCCAAGATTTACCCAAGACGGCCTAAGATGGCCTCAAGATGGCCCAAAACGGCCCAAGATGCTTCCAAGAGGCCTCCAAGACGGCCGGAGAGGCTTCTAAGAGGTCCTCCAGGAAGGCCCGAAGAGGCCCAAATCATTGATTTTGTATCACGGTTTTTGACGGATTTTGACATTTGCTTCTTTTCGGCCTTCCGACGGCCCCCAAGACGGCCCAGGAGGCCTTTAAGACGCCCAAGATGGGCCTCCAAGACGGCCCTGGAGCATTCCAAGAGGGCCCCAAATCGGCCCATAGAGGCTCCCCAAACGGCTTCCGACGGCGTCAGACGGACCAGGAGCCCACCAAGACGGGCGAACATGGCCCTAAGATGGCCCAAGACGGCCCAAGAGGGCCTCCAAGAGGGCCTCCAAAGGCCCGAAAAGACCAATATCATTGATTTACCATGCGTTTTTGAAGGATTGTGGCATGTGCCTTTTTTTTGCCTTCCGACGGCCCGAAACGGCCCAAGTGCCCCCAAAGATCGCCCAAGAGGCCCAAGACACGGCCCCAAGAGGCCCCCAAGACGGCCCAAGAGGTCTCCAAGACGCTCAAGATGGCCTCCAAGACGGCCCCGAAGCGCCCCAACAGGGCCCCAAGTCGGCCCAGAG